TGATAGTGCCGGCAGAGTCGGAGCCGGACCCGGCCTCACGTCGCGCCTAGATCCCCTACGTCAACTTTGAGGACCCGCGGTTGTTTAACATCTTGGAACGGCCTATCAATGACGACACGCCGAACCGTGAGGCCGAGTTTTTCCTGCACCTGAGTCTTTGTCAGACTGTGATCCCAGAGATGGTGGAGGGCAGCTCTGAGGTGCGTTTCTCGGTCTCTTCAACCGATGAGCAGGCGCTGGTGTCGGAAGCCAAGTTCATGGGGCTTCAGTTTCGAGTCTCGCGGTCTAGGTGTTGCTCGTGTCCGCGTGAAGCGTCCGGAACTGATTCGCCGCTACGCGAACGGTGCTACAGGCTCCGACGTACTGCTCGAGTTCAAGATTCTGGCGTTCACGAGCGACCGTAAGCGCATGTCAGTCGTCGTGCAGTACCCCCAACGGCGGGCTCACTAAGGGCGACGACAATACCATTTATCCCATGCTGGCCAAGGGCAAGAGTGACCCCGAAATGATAAAGGACACGATGCTGGAGACGTTCGGCGACGATGGTTTGCGTACGCTAACGATCACCCAACGGCGTGTGGACGAGAAGGAGTACCTTAACTGGAGCGCGCGCTTCAAGGAGGCCAATTCTTCACTAGAAGAGATTGACAAGCGCAAGAACGGGCTGCCCAACGAGACCGACAAGCTGATGACGGGAATTGAGCGTGATCTGGAGCTGCTGGGTGCGACGGCGATTGAGGACAAACTGCAGAGCAATGTGCCCGGCTGCAGTGCCAACCTGATCCGTGCTGGTATGCGCGTATGGGCGACAAGCAGGAGACTGCCATCAACGCCTGTCAACTCATGGACAATGAATGACATGCAGCAGTTTATCTTCAGCTGCGATCTGTATCCCACAAAGGACACTATCCTTTCGCACCTGACGGATGCGAACGCGCAGGTCAACGGGGCAGTGGTCGCCACGCTGTGGCGATCGATGGTGAGTGTTTGGAGTTGACACTTGCAGATGACCGGTGCCAGAAGGAATTCTTGTCGCTGGCCATGGCATGTGAAGCGGTGGTGTGTTGCCGTGTGTCTCCTATTGGTTCGCACTGCTAACAAGGTGCGACGTTGGCGATTGGAGACGGTGCAAACGATGTGGCTATGATCCAGCGCGCACACGTTGGTTTCGGTATCTCAGGACAGGAAGGCATGCAGGCTGTGAACTCGTGACTACGCTATCGGCCAGTTCGACTTTTGAAGAAGTTGCTGCTGCACCATGGCCGCTCGATTCTTGCGGGCTACATGTTATACAAGAATATCGTGACGGTGCTGGCCCAGTACTTCTACACGTTTTGCGCGGGCTCATCAGGCCAGAAATTCTACGGCGAGTTGGGTTTCCACATTTGCTACACTTCGCTGCCCATCATTGTGCTGGGAGTTTTCGACTACGATGTGCCTTTAGAAGTCAGCAGGCACTTCCGTGAGCTGTACTTGGTTGGCCCGCGCATGGAGATGTTCAACAACTACACATTCTTCAAGTGGATCTGCAGTGCCGTGTACGAGTCGGCGGTTATCTTTGTGTTCGTGGTGTACGCGTTCAACGAGAACCTTTCAAACCCCGGCAGCGCACCCATGGTGCAGTACGGATTGCTGGCATTCACGATGGTGGTGTTGGTGGCAAACAGCAAGCTGTGCTTGCTGCAGATGTCCTGGGGCGTGTACGGCGCCGTGTGTTGGTTCGTTGGTGTCATCGCGTATCTCCCGCTCACGCCCATCATCTCGAGCTTTTGAAGCGCTTGATCCACCGACTCCTGTACCCTTGACTCCAGTCTACTGTGCTTCGCCGGGCTTGCCCACTTCGTGCTCCGTCGCCGCCTTCGAAGCAGGACTACTCATCCTCGTGCATAACGAACAGCTCGAACATCGTCTCAGCATCGCATAACAAACGGCACCATGCCGCTGTCCCTGCGTGCACTTCCACTACGAGGCAGAACTCGTAACGTGAGCCCCCGTCGAGTTGGAGGTCGGGGCTGACGTGGTAACGCGTGCCTCGCCTCCTTTTTGTGCTTGTCATCCTTCTTGCTCATCTCTGTCGTCACAGTAGGCGACGCCGTGGCAGTCGTAGTGGCCGATACGGCAACACTGGCCTACAGCACTGACGCGGGGTAGCTGGAGCACATGCCTGCCGAGGAGCTTGCATGCGGCGAAGCAATGACCCATCTCTCCTCGCTGGCTACCGCGGACAGGTCGTCGTAGAGAACATGATCCCAAAAGCGCCGCTCGCGTTGAACTAGCCGTCGCCCGGGAGGCGTCGTCCATCGACTTCCAGCCACGTCGCGGGCAGGGTGCTCCAGGTGGCTGCCGGCATGGATGGAGCCACTGACTTCTCAGTGGGAGCAACGTTCGTCTCGCCCTCAATTTTCTCTGGCGACTGGCTGGACGACACAACCGTCCACGGCTCGAACCCCCTCGGCTGCTGCGGGGTCACCACACGACGCGTGATTATCCGACATCCAGGGGTGCTCTGCGTCGTCTCACCGTTCTCGTAAAGCTTCCACTGCTGGCAGCAAGGTGTCGACCTCGACAGATTGCGCGTCGTCTTCCTATTCGACGCCGGAGCTCGAACCGGCCTTGTGGACAACAGTGCGGCGAGCCGGAGACGCCACAACGCGCCGTGTGACCGTGCGTCGGCTTGGTGTAGACCCCTCGCTCGTGACGCTGCTGATGCTGCCCGTGAAGCTTCCGACACTGACAAGAGAGCCGCCTTCGCCCTCAATGATCTGGCCGTCCGCGTCCACGTACTGATCCACTGGAACTCTTGGTACCGTCCTCCCGAGCGCGTGACCTTGCGGCGACCAGAAGCGTCCGTCGAGCTTTCCGTGACGGTCTCCTCCGTCTTGGACCTGCCTTCAGTCGAGAGCTCATTACCGTCATGCAGCTCTCCTGCGGATCACTACGTCCAGAGCTGGATCCGGGTGCCTCGCTCCCGCTCACACCGGAGAAGCCGCTCGTCCTGGCCAGCGCGCTGCCGTCACTGTTCACCGCGTTGCCGTCCGCACTGCACTTGTTCGAGGACGTGGCCGCCCTGCACCACTTAACCGCCGGCGTCCACGTACTGCACCTCTTCGTGGACCTATCCGTCTGGCGTAACCTTGGCGGACACCGTCGACATCGGCATTGAAGGCGGAGATTCAACCCCGTCGGGGACAGTCGGCACGATTTGCTCTCTGGCAAGCTGCGACGCACAGCGGATTTG